TAAAACCAGAGGGGTGAAAGAAAGAGAGAGAGAGAGATATAGATGGAGAAGCGACCTCGATCTCATTGACGAGAAGCTTGCGTTCGTCGGGGGAGAGCTCGTCCCAGAGGGCAAAGGCGTCTTCTTGGCCGTAATCCTTGAGCCTCTCCAGCAACGCCTGAGGCGGCGGTGGCGCCAACGACACATCGCTCGATGGCTCACTCATTTTCTCTCTCTAGAATTCTGAATCTCTCTCTCTCTCTCTCTCTCTCTCTCTCTCTAGATCTCTCTAGATCTCTCTCCTCTCTCTGCAAGCTTAACAGAGAAAACGAGGGAGTGAGCGTCAGAAGACAGCTAACAGTAGTAGTGGCGAGGAAGACAAGAATCATTTACAGCGGGCAGAGTAACCACCCGCTGTATCGGAATGACGAAAATGCCCTCGATTCCGGACGTACCAGTTGGGTCATGGTCCATTGGGTACTTGCGACTGTGACAAGATTTGGGTTGTGGGGCCCGGCTGGGTGGGTCCCATTGGTTGTATGTTTAGTTTTACACTCTTTACGTTGGAAATCCAGAGCCTAGAGATAAAGCTTCAACTACCGGTATGGTCCCTCTACCGATTTTGCCCCTGTGACCGGGTGGGTGCGATCCGAACCAAACCGTTCCGGAAATGGGTTGGGTCTATGGAAGGAAAGAATCTACTTGGTATAAACAATGGAAATTAAAATTATGGAATAGAGATTTGTCTTTTCAAGGATTATAAAAGAAATTTTTGGTTTTTGATGAGCCAATGAATGAGAGATGACGGTGGATTGTAATCTAGACAATAATATCATTATTCAATTAGGAGTCCTTTGTGACAACTGTCGATTTTCGAGAGAAATTTTTTATTTTATCCAAAATACGAGCGATGCACCGTATATAAGTAGAGTGAAGTTTTATTTTTCAAGTTGTTAAATTTTCAATACAAATATCTCATCACTTATATAGAGACACGTGATGTACCACCTTGTATTTCGGACACACTAAAAAATGCCTCGATCTCCAAGACATGTTGATCCAATCACATATTGTTTTCATTTTTCTTATTTTTAATTGTGCAAAAGGGTTTCTGAGACTAAATGTGTCTATTCTTCATATAAACAAGCGATGCTGTAAACTAAACTAAAGTATAAGCAGCAAGAAGACTGACAAATTTAGGCGTAATTCGTACATATGCACCCTCTCATCTCAAGTTCATGGAGCCCTATTAACTTGAGAGTCTAGTATTACATAGACCAAACATTTATATAAGATGCTTACATACCAACCTTGCCAAACTCTGGTGGAAAAGTTAGGGCGATAGACGTAAAATTTCATTCATAGCCATCTTGCAAAAGTTTTGTAAAGAAAATGACATGGGAAAATTTGGCTTTCGCAACATGGAAGCATTGAATTAGGCACTAAATGGGAGCACTAGAGTGGAGAGTCCTCTAGTGGTTAGAATTTTCGAGTCACACCGCATAACATTGGTTATTCTCTAATTTGGTAGGAAGGATCATTCTCAATTTCAATGTTGAAAAGGAAAGGTGGTTGAATTCTACGATATGGGTGAGTTTTCAATCCCTTGATATAATGTCATTTTGTCACATTTTTGATATACTTATGCTAAGAAGACTTTCTCAAAATGAGACTCTTTATGAAGTCCCTGCCACCTCACAATTTAACGTTAATTATCGTACCAACATTATAATTAAAACATTGTGCAAAAAATATGAGATGACAAAAAGTTCATAAAGAGTCCCACTTTTCAAAATCTCCATCACATTTATCGTGATTATATATAAAGGTCATATATATAATGGTAGGACTCATGCGACATATTACCATCTTCCTTAGGTCTCCAAGTCTAGTGGATTTGTTGTCCTCAATTTAGTGTTTTCTTCACGTTTTATGTTTTGAAAAACCAACAGTGTTAATTCTAAAATGAAATGAAATAACAAGTGTCAAACTTCATAAAAACGAGACACCAAATTAAAAACAATAGATCTGCAATCAAGATGCACCTATATTAAAAAGTGCTTGTTGTGTACACTAATAACTATAAGTGATGGTGCACTCGTCGTACCATAAAAGTTTAACCAAATCAAGTGTTACTAGCAAGACCGTAATGAAAGGTTGGACACATGCACATTACTTCTTTTGTTTTCAAAGATTGTGATATAAATATCTCCATTGTCCCTATCGTGTTAAGTTGTGGTTGACATTTCATGCGAGGTAACAATCTAACAATTGTTGGGGTTGCCAAAGCCCTAGGCCCCAAGTGTACTTATTTCGTTTCTCTTTTTGTATTTTGACAACCTTTTCTTTGACTACTATAAACTATTCGGGTTCGTTATTATTTGTACAAGCTTGTAATTCTTTTTTTTTTTACAAGAATATATTATTAAGAAAATAAAAAAATAAATTCATATCAAATTCATTATTTATAAAATTAGAATTTATGACTTTTTACTCACAAATAAAAACCGTAATAATACATGAAGTTGTGAGTTATTAATTTTAATATAACATAAAGAATAAAAAAAATGATAAGAAATAGGATCATCTTGATAGGCCATAATTTGATCCACGTCTCTACTAATCAATATAGTACGTATACTTTTCAACCCAAAAAGAAAATGAACCAAAAATATGATTATCCTGCCTCCTTTGGCTCTTATTACGTAAGCATACATCATATAATAATAATAGTAACAATAATTAAAATAGTTTAAATAGTAATAACTAATAAATAAAAAAGCAATAAACAGTTTTTTTTTAAATTTATTTATTTAATAAACGTCACTTTTACTATTTTAAAATACACTAAGAATAGAGAAAAAAAAATTTAGCGTGAGACGCATTAAGTTAAGAGCAACTCCAGCGTTGGAGCCCTCCCCCCTGGCAATTCACTATTCAATCCACCTAATGAACAGTAATTGCCCTTAATGAACAGTAAGTAGCCCTGGCAATAGATTTTGCATCTCCACCGTTACACTTCTATAGCCCTGGCAATAGGCAATAAAATATTAGTATTTTTTTTATTTATAAAATTAATACAAAATAATTTTAAATGTAATATCGGATAAGATTTTTAATCGTTATCGGTGCGCCACGTGTCATTATCCTAAGTATTATTAAATAATACAATTAATTAATCTCTGCCGTTGGATATAAAAAAATTTGAATTCCAACGCTCCAGATTGTGCCACGTGTCACAACGGTAACTTTTCAGATTTTTTAAACTATTTTTTCATTTATTTTTTAATTTATAAAGCATTTTAATATCCACCGTTGATCTCAGATCGAACGGTGGATATTAAATCTGACAGTTTTAAAATTTTTTACCGTTGAGATCTAACGGTCCACATTAAGTGACCGTTAGGATCTAACGTACCGTGGGAAGCCACGTGGCTTCCCAACGGTAACAGACAAAACTTTTTTTTTTCTGATTAAAGTGTCAGGACGCGCCCCCACGCGCGGGTGGGGTGCACGCGCCTGACACAAAAAAAATTAAATAATAGGCTGACGCCACCCTGGCGTCAGCATGGCGTCACTCCCACCCCGGGCTCAAGGCCTGTCAATTCCTCACGGGCCTGGCCCTCGGGCCTTCCCCTTCCCCCCGGCTTCCCAACGCTGGAGCTGGTCCACCTTCACTCGGGCCTCCGTTTTGGAGCCCGTCCCCCGAGCTAAACCCCACGCTGGGGATGCTCTAAGGGATGATGGAGACCTTATTTTTGCAATAGATCTACAATTAGTAATAAATGACTGCCATAATAATCACATAGATCTAATACATGGTTGCTCATTTTACTTATGGCTCATTTAGAAGTGTTTTTAAAATGACTGAAAATACTTTTGAAAAAAATGTGTTTTTGAAACCAATTATTGGTAACTAGTGCTTTTTGCAGAAAACGCTTTAAGTAGTTTTGAAATCTAAAACTAATTTTACCAAAAACGTATTTAATCATTTTAAAAACAGTTTCAAACGAGTTCTAAACCAACCGCAACAACAAAGGTTGCTTGCTAGTTTAGTATTAGGTGAGCAGGTAGTTGGGAAAATAACATGCGACTGAACATCAATGCCTACCTTAATAGTAACACATTATTACCAATCAACTCAAAGGTGTTGTATTACTGCCCTATCCTTAAGTATTTTTTTAGTGATAAAATCATTAGTTTTAACTGGCCAAGGTTCTTCTCAAGGGTTACACACGCAATGTAACGAAATGACATCATAACAAATTTCAATCAAAGACATGAGCCTAGTCCAATCTAATCTCAACTTTATTCATTTAAAGTCAAAGTATATATGCCCTTTCAAACTGACCTTATACCATCATTCACAGACAACCAGTCTTCAATTTTCATTGGCACTATGTGTGGGGAAGAGATCCCTCCGGATCTCTCCCACCAAAGTCATCCCAATTCATTAATTCGGGCTCTTAAAATTTGATGCAACGGCTAAAATTATTATAACTTTTAAGGGATCCTATGTTTGTAGTCGTTGGATCAAATTTCAAAAACCTGGATTAATAGATTGGATGAATTTGATGGGAGAGATCCGGAAATGATCTATTCCCCTATGTGTGAGGTGTTACCAACTAGTTTTTAGTTTAATAATAATTGTTTGGTGGAAAGTAATCTTATAATCGACTCATACGAATTCTGAAGTATGAAGATGATAAAAAACGAATTACAAATAACAGTTCAATTTTATCACCCTTACTTTATCTTGTGTGGCCTCTCTGATCCCTCTTGAAATTTTGCCATATTTATGTTGAACTATTCTGGCCATTTAATACTATAGGTTAGTGGTAAATGAGTGATTTTAGAATCGAATTGTTAACTATGTTGACAAAGTATGAAGATTATCCATCACAGTGGAATGGAGAAGAAGATGAGGCTTTGGAAGAAAATGAAAGCTTGTATTGATATCTTCTAAGTTCAACTAATTACAGAAAATGAGAAAGCTTTTACAATTTATACTAGCCCACAAGGTAACTAACTCTAACCTTCTAAAAAACTCTTCCTAGACCAATCTTCATCATTCAATTATAAAACGATCTCCATCATACATTCGTTAATACAAATCTCGTGGATGCATAGTGTAAATATATTGTTGTATAAAAGTAAATAGCGATTCTTGGCGAGAACCAATGGTTAGGGCTCCAGGTTTTTTGGATAATACAGTTCTATATAAAGTAGTGGCTAGTTTTGTTTTTGGTTTTTGCTTTAATGGTCTGCAAGTAGATTGAAGTATATATTTAGATACCAGGCGAATTAGCCATAGTGAAGTGATCAAAATTCACGAAAGTTATTGTACGAGACAAATATCCGTTGAGTTGAGATGCTAAAAAGAAGGTTTGAGTAAATCTTCTTCGCGCTTTGTTATCTCCACAGTTAAAACCCCGTCACTAGAACAATCAGCAGTTGCTATATTTACATCACAATTCTGACAGCCTGAGGAGTGAGGACAGTAGCATGTTCTTGATGGCCTCCAGTTAAAGCTCCGTCACTAAAACAATTACTCCACCCTGGAATGAAGACTCCTGCTAAATTTATGAATCAATAACTCCAGATTACTTTGTAAGAAATTATAATATTCTGGCCAAAAAAAAAAAAAATATTGCCCACATCCGTCGCGGTTGCAATTGGTGGATCTTCTGGTTGATTTGAAATCTCAGACGGCAGCAGGTCGGAGGAAGAGGGCCAAGAAGCGCCCTGCGGTGGCATCAACTCCGGAGACAAGGAGAGAGAGAGAAAGAGAAACTCTAAACCGTGTTCTCTATAGGTACGTACGTCAGAATACAGCCGTGAGCATTTTAGGGTTTGATCGTGGATATGGGTATTTTTGTTTCCCTTATGCATAAAGGACTTACCTTTTATGTTTTTCAAGGAGGTTGTGGACACAGTTCACAAGGCGGCTATAAAACAAGTTAACTTTAAAACCAACCCTGAGAAAGCGAGAGCCGAAGTGAACTCATGGGCTGAAAAGGCGACGAAGGGCCTTATCACTGAGGTTCTTGCTCCTGGGACAGTCAAAACCAATACCAGGCTTATATTTTCAAATGCTTTACACTTTAAAGCAGTTTGGAGTGACCCGTTTGATACATCGGAGACACTAGAAGAGGACTACTTCCACCTTCTCGACGGCACTTCTGTTGAGGCGCGCTTCATGAGAAGCTACGATTACCAGTTTGTAAAAGCCTTTGACGGCTTCAAAGTCTCGAAGCTTCCTTACGAACAAGGCGAAGACAATGAGAGACAATTTTGTATGTACTTGTTACTTCCTGATGCGAAAGATGGGCTCCCAGCTTTTGTTGAGAGAGTTTGTTCCGAGCCTGATTTCTTAGATCGTCATCGCCCTGAAACACGAGTCGCGGTTGGTTCCTTCGAAATCCCAAGGTTTAAGATTAGCTCCGGCTTTGAAGCTTCTAAAGTTCTCAAGGATGTAGGATTGGTGTTGCCCTTCAATGGTGAAGGTGATTTGACAGGGATGGTGGAGTCACGTCTAGGTAAGGCCAAAATAATTCACAAATCCTTCATTGAAGTTGATGAAAAAGGCACAGAAGCTGCAGCTGTTACTGTTTGCGACTTGACGATGAAGCGGATGGTGATGATGAACCATTTATACAGAAAACGATAGACTTTGTGGCTGATCACCCATTTATGTTTATAATCAGTGAGGAAGTGATTGGAGCGGTTCTGTTCATTGGTCATGTTCTCAATCCGTTAAAAGAATGAGCTTTAGGACGTGACAAGGCAAGTAAGATTTACTCTTTATTTTTGTTTTTTTAACTATTGCATTGTGGATGACTGCCTGCGGGAATGGTTTTTAATTTCTTGTTTTTCTTTGCAATGTAACAGTTGAGGTTCAGTGATCGTTTTGTTTTTCGCAGTTGAATCCTCCTCTAATTTCTGCAATGTTTGTTCTTTTTGGTGTTGAGGTTCACTGGTTGTTGATTTCCAATTTAAAATAAAATAAAAAAGTATTCGTTTTGATATCCAAATCCAATGAATGAGCATACGATGATGAAAATCTCATATGCATTTTTCAGTGTGCCAGAAACACGATATGATACACAATATAATTATACAATTGGTTGGAAACGTAATCAAGTAAGTTGGTCTTTCTTCTTTTTCTAAGTCTATTCAGAAAGTACAAACCTAGAGATTCTAGTATTAACTGGACCAAAACATTTTATGCATTCAACGTCTATACCAACTGAGGGCAACGAAGCCACTAATACTATCGGTATTAATTTTGGTTTGACTAATATTAGGTACGATTCTCATGAATTAATCAAATTTAAAGCATACTCCATGTCAATGACGAATTGGTTTACTAGCGTTCAAATCTCTACTTGTGTGTAAATAGGTCATGAGTCTAATTATTACGAACTATATTATTTTGCCGATGAAGAGAAAATATTTATCCCAATTGCATTCGTATCAAATAACAGTCACAATCATACCAATTAGTCATATACAACATATCTATCAATAAACGAGAAAAGTTATCATTTTGCGAACATAATATTAGTTGAATAGTATGTAAAACTTTAGTAGGCTAGGCTTTCAGTTGTTTTTGCACACCCCTTCGATGGAGGGTTACTTGTATTTATAAGATCATAAAGATTACATCAGTGGGTCTGAAAATACCCTATTTACACGCTAGTTTGAAATTCAAACTTTACAACAGCATAATAAACTTAGCTAAGAAACATTCAAAATATTCCTAGACTTATCAGACTCCCTTTGGGATAAAGAAAATCATGCACACAACAGATTTGAGAGTGAACGTAAATGGGAAGTCTGACTTGGTCTAACATTTAGATTTCAAATCACATAACTTATTCTGTTTAGAATGGGTATTGCATTTCATTAGTGGGCTAGGCCATAATGATACATATATGGCTTTGGGCCTAGGTACATGGTTGGGCTTTTCAAACCCAAATTCCGACCCGAGACAAATAAATTCAAGAAAGAAACCAAAAGAAAACAATAGCAAAGCCCCAAATCATCGATAAGAGTACACAGAGACTCTGCCGCGCACTGCTCTCTCCTGTCCGAACGAGAATGGCAACGGCCTTCTCATTTGCGCAGACCACTCTCTTCTCCAAAACCTCACCTTCTCTCCGCACAGCTTGCCTCAGAAGCTTCACTTTCTGCCTGCCCTTCTCTTCTTCCTCTACAGATCTTTCCTCCGATAAGCTTCACAACAAGAAATGGAGGCAGCCGGTGGCTTCCGTGCTCGAGCTGGGCGGCGTCAAAATTGCTAAAGATGGTAACTTTGACCATTTCCCTCATCTGGGTTGCTCTCGTTTTTGATATTTTTGTTGTTTTTCTGTATTGGGTTTGCAGTGATGGTGAAATTTTTGTACTTGGTTTGCATTTCTACAACCTGATACTGTGAATTTGTTCGTTCCGTAAGTAGTAGTTTTCTGTGAAATTGTAATATTTGAATTGGTTTTAAGTTTTTACAACTTTGGTTAGTCCATTTATTCTTTTATTCATTAAGTTCTGCAGTATGTTTTGTTCGTAATGCAATTTGGTTCGTTGAAAAGTTTTGCATTTTGTTTTGTATACTTGTTCGAGAATTGTATCTCACATCAATCCATTGCACTCTGGAATACTTGTTTCGGGTACATTCCATTTTGATGTTGGATGTCTGTTTGATGGCCTAAGTCTAACAAACATTTCAAAGCATGTTAGAATTCTCATCATATGTTTCTTTTGATGCTCTGTCGGATATGTGCAATTGGAAAGTTGCAGACTTGGTTTTCTGAAAGATTTGTTAGTGGCTTGATAGTTTTGGATTATGGGTTTGTAGATGTGCTGAGGGATGACCCCACAAACAATGTACCGGATACAATTTTTGCAAAGCTTGGACTGCAACTCCACAGAAGAGATCAGCACCCACTTGGGATTTTGAAGAATGCAATATACGAGTATTTCGACACCAATTACTCAAATCAGTTCGATAAGTTTGATAATCTTTGCCCAATTGTCTCTGTGAAAGAGGTACGAACTTGATTTTATTTTAAAAATTGGACCATGAAATACACCAAATGAAGGGGACAAGAATCTTTAGTTTATAGCATTTATCATTCATATCTCCTAGGTTTGTTTCTGGATTGTTAACCTCATTGATTAAGTCATGCATTTTTCATAAAAGAAGAATAGTAAATATGTGTTATTGCAGTGCTCTTTTATCCTTCTAAGATTGTAAGAACCCTGTGAGTTCTTGACAGTGAATCAAATTTCAATTCTTTCAGAATTTTGACAATGTTCTGGTTCCTGCTGATCATGTAAGTCGAAGTTATAATGATACGTACTATATTGACTCTCAAACCGTGTTGAGGTGTCATACAAGTGCTCATCAGGCAGAAATATTGAGAAGAGGACATACTCATTTCCTTGTAACAGGAGATGTGTACCGTAGGGATTCCATTGACTCAACACATTACCCTGTGTTCCATCAGGTTTCTTATCTCTAATGCTTAGAATAAGACTTCAATACTGCTTAGCTTCTTGGAATTCTGCCTTAACGAATGAATTTATTTCCTGCCCATACAGATGGAAGGTGTTCGTGTTTTTTCTCCACAAGATTGGGAGGCATCTGGGACAGATGGCACATCTTATGCTGCTGGAGATTTAAAGAAATGTCTAGAGGGTTTGGCACGCCACTTATTTGGTAAAATCTATCTTGAACCACTGTGCTTCATATCTCCTAGGCAAGCTGTAATTTGGTGTGCCATTTAAGTGCTTTAGCATTCAACAAATAGCTATTAAGCATATGGAGTTTTATTTGCTTCAAAAATTCTTAGAGTGTTTTCTTAATTTTATTTAATTTATTTGTTTATTTATTATATGATACAATTTATTCTTTTTGGTGGATTGATAGAGTTGTTTTGGAACATCTAAGTTTATCAGATTGAAATTTTCAGGTTCTGTGGAAATGCGCTGGGTTGATACATATTTCCCATTTACCAACCCATCATTTGAACTTGAGATATTTTTTCAGGTATACTACTGACACTGATCATTTTGGGACACGAAACAAAAATTCCGTGTTTCTTTGTGGATTGTGAATCTACTTCATGCTATTTCTGATACATATGGGTTAGGATCCTGGGACACACACTTTTGACACACATTTTTGTTTGGCCCACTCTGTAATGTATCTCAACAATTCTAACTTTCTATCTTTTAGGTCTTCTCTCAAAGATCATGTCTACCCAAAATCACCCAAATCCGAAACCAACAGTTGGATTATTCTTTGTAGTATATTAGTTGCCAGTATGATTTTGTCTTTATCTGCTGCCTGTGAGATCTGGGAGTTCGAGTGGAAGTAGTTGTTTACGCTAGATTAAACTTGATGGCTATCCTAGATTACATGTAGTGACCCTTGAGCCCCTTTCTATTCTGTAGATGAAAAAGTAATAAAAGTAAAATTTATCAAAAATATATCTATGCAATTCCTTGGAGATACTTTCTATTCTGACTGTTTCCATTGTTGATTATTACTGTTCATATCCAACTAGTGCTTTTGTCATGCGTTGAACTGGGACACCTGTTGATAATCAAATCTCGCATTGAACTAGTGGCCACTGTTATAATTCGTGGTTCTTATGTTTAGGAAAGTTTTCTGTTGTTACAATTCATGCTTTGAAACCCCTTGTCGTACTTTTCAATTGATGCTTGGAGGCATGAATATTTTTAGCATTAAATCAATTTTATAAATGTTGAACACAATACCAGGAAAAATGGTTGGAGGTTTTGGGTTGTGGGGTGACAGAGCAAGAAATATTGAGGAGAAGTGGCAAAACAGACAACGTTGCTTGGGCTTTTGGACTTGGACTGGAACGGCTGGCAATGGTTTTATTTGACATCCCTGATATTCGGCTTTTCTGGTCAACTGATGAGAGATTCACCTCTCAGGTGGTTCCTGAATCCGTTAAATATGATTTTTCCCCTCTCTTTTTTTAGATATGTTCTATTTGCTCAATTTAAGTATTGACAAGTGAAATAAGCAAGTATTAAAGTCCTTGGCTTTTTTCTAATCCATTATATCTAATTATCCAATTTTGGATATAGTTTTTGAGTGGCCAGTTGGGAATCAAATTCAAGCCATTTTCCAAGGTATTGTTGCAACTCACACATAGGAAATTAGCATGTTTACTTTCTGGTTACTGAGTTTTCTGGTCACGTATTATTGTGTAAAATTAAGATATAGTTTTGTGAGATATTTGATCTCCCTCCCTCTGCCCTCGTATGCTTAGAGCTTGTGCTGCCCTTTTGTTATATCTTGTATCAAAAGATAGAAAGCAAAAATTGAGCCATGATAATGTTGAGAATGAGTCCCACATTGATGGGAGGAGGGACCTTGCATGGGCTTATAAGAGGTTGGGCTACTCCCCATATTGCCAATTGGTTTTATTATTGCCTTGAAAGAAATGAACAAAGAAAGAACAAAGAAATGATGATGTATGACTGGATTTTTATGGTGGAACCCCAACTTTCTTCAGTAAAAGAAAGAACAAAGAAATGATGATGTATGACTGGATTTTTATTATTGCGTTGAAAGCCAAATGGCTTCTTAAGATTTTGTTGCTTGTGGATCTAACTATTGGTTTTAGGGTAAATTACTGCTTGCTAACAATTCTTATAAACTTTCTTTTCGTTTCAGTATCCTCCTTGTTACAAAGATGTCAGTTTTTGGATAAACGAGTCTTTCACCGAAAACAATTTATGTGAAGTTGTTAGAGAAGTTGCTGGAGATCTTGCAGAGGAGGTATGCCTGTTTTCACTCATAAATTTACTGGAGGTGTAGATTTTGAACATTGTGGTTGAACCTTGATGTTTTTTGGAAATAAAGAGCAGCTCTAACTTGACGTATTCGGTGCAGCTAGTTTTCTGAAATGATTTTCTACTGAAGTGGCTTAAAATTGAAAGATTTGAAAATTTTTAACCTGTCCACACCTGAACTGCTATATTTATTAA